TCTCTCTCTCTCGTGATCATACGAGTTTGGACGAAGAGGAGATCGCTTCTTTTGTGCATGTAACATTGTGATTATCCCGAGATATGCGATGGACTTGATCCTGATAACCCTGATTTGTGCGATTTGCTGAGATCCACAGTATGATGATGATGACTGGGTATGGGGCGTTCATGATCTTATTGTCCTGGCGACGCGATGACGTGAGGGTGATCCCGGTCAGGAGTAAAAGGATGGAGGAAGGCACAGAGCAGCAGGAAGCCCGTCATGTGTAATGGACCATTGATGAAGTAAGGCGATGAATGAGAGGAAGAGAATGGAGGAGAACAGGGGAGGACAGCAGGTGTGATCTACGAGGGGAACATGGACGGTGGTGGATCAAGCGAACATGAAGGGATGAGGAGGAACGAAGGAGGCGGCATGTATTTTGGAGGGCAAAGGTCAGAGAAGGACGGGGGATGAATGGATGACAACGAAGGTGCACGAGACGTATGAAGGGAGGAGCAGAAACAACGAAAGGAGAATGACGAACTCTCACGATTCTTTTGCACGTTTTTTAAACTTTTTTTTCCATTTTTTTTGGCGTCGAGTTATCTGTTAATTTTTCTCTCTATCTGTTTATCTTTTTTTGTTACCTTTGTTTGCTGTCCGATTACGGTATAGCAGAACATGGATGGAGGAAGAGGGGTGAGAACGTGAAGGGAGGAGGAGGAAGGAAGAAGGTGGGGGGAACGATCCTCACAGTTTTCCCTTGAGATATGATTGAGAAAGATGGGAAAGGATCGAGAATAGGTGGTAGCAAGAGGAGGAGGGCAGAAGAGGGGGAGGGAAGGAGGATGATGAAGGATGAACGGGGGGATTACTACTTGAGTGTTACCTTCATCCATGGCGTTAATAGAGGAGGAAGAGGGGGGTGATCCCAGCAAGGAGGTGGAGACGGAACGAATGTAAAGGGAAGAGCGGAGGATGGGGTCGCGGCAAGGAGGAGGTGGAGATGGAATGAACATGAACCGAGGAGGAAGAAAGAACAGGGCGAGGGAGAAAAATGATACAGCATGACGCTTTCCGACTAGGCTACCAGAGTGGCCCCGGTCCACTTGCCTGGCCGGGCCAAAAATAAATAAAAATATAAAAATATAAAAATATTTTTTAATTTAAAAATATTATTTAAATTTTGGTAAAGAATTTCGATGTGACCCTGAGGCAAAAGTTGTTCAGTTTATTTTTCTGCATAACATAGTTTTTTTTCGTATTTTTTGGATTTTTTTTTTTTTTTTTTTTTTGGCTGGGACCTTCCCTGGCCCTTGTACGGCCGGGCTGCCCGGGGAAATAGGGTGACCCGGGCGGCCCGGCTGGTAGCCTAGCTTTGCGCATTTTTTCTTTTCTTTTTCCGGGGAGGTCGAATGACTAATGGGCTTTTTAACTCCGTCCTGCATCCTCTCTCTCTCTCTCTCTCTCTCTCTCTCTCTCTCTCTCTCTCTCTGTGTGTGTGTGTGTGTGTGTGNGTGTCTGTCTAGCTCTCTAGCTCTCTAGCTCGCTCTCCGGAGATGCGATTGACGAGTATAGGTAAGCGTGCATGCAAACGAACTTGGGGGAAGGAATGAACGAGACAAGGGATGAGGACATTTTGTTCGTGAAGATGTTGGAGATTGGATACAGAAGAAAGAGGGGGGTGGTGGCATCAAGGAGGAGGTGGAGGAGAAGTGAAAATATATTGTGGGTGAAGATGTTAGAGATCGAATAGAAGAGAAAGAGGGAACAGGACGATCATGCATGAGGGGAACTGTAGATGTTTTCTACACGTGCACGAGTGCCACAGGACGTATACGAGGGATGAGGATATTTTGTAGGTGAACATGTTGGAGATGGAGTAGAGGAGAGAGGAGGAGCAGGATGAGGATGCATGCAAGGAGGCCAGAGAACGGATGAGCACGATGATCGACAGTATCTCGTCGAGGATGGTTGGAGCAAGAAAAGGTTGGAGGAGAGATCAGAGAGGGCCGCGGTAGGAATACAGGAGAAAGGGAGGAGGGTGACGTCGTGACGAACGGAGGATGACACAACAATGGATGATGTTGGAGATTGATTACAGGAGAAAGAGGGAGCAGGCAAGGGAGAAAGATAAGGAAGGGAGGATGAAATGAATGTAGACGAGGCAGAGGAAGGGAAGAGCAACGGCGGCCAAAGCAAAACTACGACGGACTCACCAGAAGATCGACCGCAATCTGATTCTGCATGCACCTGCTCTCTCTCTCTCTCTCTCTCTCTCTCTCTCTCTCTCTCTCTCTCTCTCTCTCTCTCTCTCTCTCTCTCTCTCTCTCCCCCATGTGCGCACGCGTCCCCTCTCTATGTCCCTCCACGCTTTAGAGGGAATCTGGCAAAGGATCAGCCATGCATGCCCAAAACGAAGGAGGGCGTGACAGAGGGAACCAGAATCAGCAACGGCCCTCTTTACTCACATGGTCCCACCAAGAAAGACACCGAAGATCGAGATGTCATTGGGACTGAAAGAGGAGCAACTCAAACGGCCAGGCTGCTGCCATGGATGACCTGTGACTCAGAAAGAGACCGAAATCAAGAGGTGATTCAAGTGATTGGAATAATCACCAGGTGAAAGAAAAATGTGGGGTTGGAGATAGGGAAGGGCAAGGACGAAATGGAAAGTAGAGGGCTCATCGGATTATTTTCGGTCCAATGAGGTCCGGGTGGTGCCATGGAGGGGTTGTAGCTGAGAAAGAAAAGGGAGAATGTGGGGTTGCAGATAAAGAACAGCAAGCCACGAACAGAGAACAGAGGGGGTAGAAGGGAAAGGTTGGCTTATGGGATTATTTTTGGACACAAGTGCTCAATAAACGGCTGAATCTGTGACTTGCTTTCGGAGGTTTTCCGTCCTGACTGTGATCCAACTGCATTTCAAAAGGTTTCGTTTTCCTCCTCTCTCTTTTTCCACTACAAACCTCACCCCTCGCTCTCCTCTGTCCCTCCCCCTGTAGCACCATTAAAGAAAGGAGCACCAGCGGAGACGTCTCTTTGAGTTAATGGAGGTTGGTCGAATTCGCCTGTGGTTGTTGGCATTGCAAAGTACTACTGCTATCGTTGCTTTTTTGATTGATTGCATGTTCACTGGATTTTTGTGGCCTGTCCTCTTGTTCCAGTGTTTCAATGAATGCTTTTTCTTTTCATTTCTTTGTTGAGCGTTTCTAGTATTCTTTAGTTCAGATCAATAGCTTAAAACAGAAAATTGAGCTTCTGTTTCTCCGAGTCTCAGGGTACCCAGTGTGATTCAGGTGTTCACTGTCATCATCAGGTGGACCTTAGGTTTGTGTTAAACTACCAGTACAGGACCCCAGCCTTCCGGAAAAATGTTTTGCTGCCACCTATGGGTTGGGAGACGCAGGGCTACCGGACCACATTGGCTGGCGCCACTAGCCAAAAGAGAAAAAAAAATGTGCCGATGGCGGATCTGAAAACCATGGCGTGCAGTCGAGTGCCTCCAGGCCTGGGTGTACTGGTGATTCAAGGGACCAAAAGTATGGTCTGAGCAGTGAGCATTAAGTATCGCCTGAGCGTTCAGACGGTTAATGGCATAATGAATTGAGCCTATGGTGACTGTTGGATCTGATGGAGCGTAGTTCTTGAGGGAGCAAGCAAGAGCAGTTCGGTCCTCTGCAGGACTTTCTGAACTGGATCTGGTGACAATCTGCGGTAAGATGCATGCAGGGAAACTCCTACCGTGAGTACGCCCTTCCCTGCAATGGAAACACTGTATTATGTGGTTTGACATCGAGGAAACTCTGTATTCTGCAGAAGTCCTCGGTGCAACAAAAGTGAACAGGCTGCAAAAGTTGTGTAGTGTCTGGTTCCCTTGTCATTGGGATTATTTAGCACTTGTTGCTGATTGGAATCGTTATGACCTTATTGTGGCAGAAACAAAATGTAGGGCTTCTTCTATAATCCGCGAAGGTCTGGCCAACTGTGTGGACAGGTTCTTGTCTGTGCTCAGTCTTAACCTTGTAGGATGCTTGTGTGTGTGTGTGTGTGTGTGTGGGTGGGTGGATGGGGGGGGTTCGGGGGGGG